GAGATACAGGTGTTAAATCTTTGATTGAGACAACTAGCTTATAAAATGCTAGTACAACATGCCAGGCCATCCTAAGACCTTATAGAAAGGAAAGTGACACAAATGAGTCTATTAAAGATTTGTTCAGATAGAGGGCCTTATAGAGAAAGAAAGAAAACATAGATAAATTCAGATTTGTTCAGATTTTGGATGCTCATAAAACAAAAATTGGCTATAGCTGTTGGGTTACAAGAGACTTCAATTAAGGATGTTTCATTTCAACTAACTAATCATAACCTAGGCAATAGGAGAGATGAGAGATATGTGTGCCTGTTCTGTGTGTAAGGGGTGGCCACACCAGTATGTTTGGAATGTGAGTGTAAATGTGTAAATGTTGACACAAACAACTGTTTATATTACCTTGGATATGATTAAAAGCATACTTAAATCACTTCAGACATAGCTAAAAAGCTACCTAAATTGCTTTAGATATAGCCAAAAGGAGCATCCATCCAGTCAGTTAATGCCTTAACAGGAAAGATGAAAGATTTAAGCCTTCAGAGCCAGTCAATAGAAAATAGCAGAAGCCTAGGAGCCAAGAGAATCCACATGGATGATTCTATGGAGTTTAACAAAGGAGAGGATACAGAGATCTTCCTAAATTTCTATGGTTAAAAAAGAAAACCTAGAAGTTAGATGATTTGAAAACTTTTTTTTGTTTTTCAGGGAACTAGTCTTGGTCAGGCCCCACCCCCAAAGGTGTCTGTGTATATGCAAATTATCCCTTGTCAGCTAAGATGCAAATGAGGCCTTGTCAGCTAGTGAGAGCTATCTGTTAGACTGGATAAGACTCCTCACAGACTAAGTAATTTGCAAAAGTTATTTGGTACATATGTTGTGTTCTAACAGAAATTAAACCTCAATTTGGACAATTAAAAAAGGATAGTTTACAATCTTTTGAGCGATTTTCAGAATTGCTGGGAAATATTCAATGGTTATATCCTTTTTTAAAGTGTTCTACTGGTGACTTAAAACCCTTAAATGAGATTCTAAAAGAAAATAGTGATCCCAATACACCTGGAACGTTGACTAAAGAAGGTAACAAGGCTTAGTGTTAGAAAGTATAGTCTGGCATCAGTAGATGTTATATTAACAATACAATCCATGGGAAGCTTATGCTGTTTCCCCAGCCAAAGTGTTAAATCCTTATTTAAGCAGTAACCTGTATGGTGCTGAAATAGCATATGGAATCTGGGAGATATTTTGACAGAGAACAAAGTATAATAATGTTGTGCCAGGTTTGTGGATTCCCAGAGACTAACCCAAGGAGTCAACACTTCTGATGCAAAGGCAAAAGGTTCCTTTAATTCAGGCTGGTCAGATTGCATTTCTTTCCATGATGGAGTAGATGAGATGCCCACCAGCAAAAAAAAGGCACAAGTTTCAGTTTCCATGGTTACTTAGGGTCATACAAGATCTGGAGTAAAACAGTAACTATATATTTTGGGCTAGATATATCTGAGTAAGATAAGATAAGACTTACAGAGTTATTGAGGTTACCAGGGTCTGTCAGTTAGTCCCTGGGCCAGAGAATATTTACAACTGGCAGAGGACCTTTATGACCTACAATTAGCAAAGGAATGTTAACAGGAGTGGTGGACAGCTGCCTCCCCTTCTCTGAGAGCAGGGACTCAGGCACCCCTGATTTAAGGAGTTAAATCTTCCTTTGCCATCAAGAAATTGCCTCTCTCTGTATAGATTTAGGGCTCAAGATTTTAAACTTTTAATTTTATTTTTCGATCCCTCAATACATGTTACATATACCAAGCAACAAGTTGATTGTTTCAGAACAGTGATTTGTGGACAACTGCTTTGCTCAATTTTTCAGGGAGAATTGATAATCAGTTTACAGCTCATAGGCTGTTACAGTTTGAGCTAATACATCCTTTATGTTCTCCAAAATAGTAAAACATAGTCCTGTAAAAAATGTTGTGCTAGATGTTACTAATGGTTATTCTAATGGAAGAACAACTTATGGTATAGATGGTAAGAAATATGTGGAGCAAACATCTCTGTCTTCAGCTTAGATAGTTGAGTTATGAGCTGTTACAATGGTTTCTCAACTTCTAGTAAATAATTCACTTAATTGTAAAGTGACAATCATTATGTTTTTAAAGCTCCTCAAATAATAAAGATGGTTCAGTACATTAAAAGTAACAATGAGAGCCGGGCGTTGGTGGTGCACGCCTTTAATGCCAGCACTCGGGAGGTAGAGGCAGGCGGATCTCTGTGAGTTCAAGGCCAGCATGGTCTACAAAGTGAGTTCCAGGACAGCTTCCAAAGCTACAGAGAAACCCTGTCTCGAAAAAACAAAAACAAACAACCAAAAAAAGTAACAATGATCAGGTTAAAATATTATTTAAACAAAATAAAAATGCAATTGCCATGTTTTGTGGGTAATATAAGAGAGCTCATTCAAAACTTCCCAGCCCATTGGCTAAGAGAAATGAGTCAGCAAACAAATTAACAAAGTTGGTGGCTTTGACTCTGGTGGAGAGAGCTCTTCAGTCTCATTAATTTTCATCATCAGAACAACAAAAGTCTAGGAAAGCAATAAGAGACTGCTTATCAAAATTGTCAAAAATGAGATGTGCCCACAATATTTATCTGTAACTAATTTAAGAGTGAACCCTAGAGGCCTACTTCCTAATCATTTATGCAATAATTTTATACATTTATGTTACAGAATTTGACAAGTTATAATATGTACACATGGTATTCATGTTTTTTGATAGGCACCAAAAACTGAAAAAGTTACCAAGCATATGATATGTCACTGTTTAAAATGTTTTGCTTACATGGGAGTTCCAAAGGTAATAAAGAACACACAATAGGTCTGGATATTCTAATAAGGCATTCAGCTATTTTATAATCCATAGAAAATTAATCAACAGGTAGTCCTTACAATCCTCAAGGAATTGTAGAGCATGCTCATAGCTCCTTAAAAATACAACTTCTAAAAACTAAAAAGGGGGAATAATAGTACTCCCCACCTGGTAAGTTTTTACATGTGAAAATGAAATGGCTTATTCCATGTTGCTTACAAATTGGACAGGGTTATGTGTACTAGCCACCCTTCTTTCATGTGGAGTTTATTCCAGCAAGTGAGCCCATGGATTATCTTATTCCTAGATATTTGAAAACCATCTAATTCATCCCATTAGTGGGACTTGGAGTATCAGGCCTTAGCCACTGGCTCTGCAGGCATGAGGGTAGCAATTCAGACATACTCCACAATGAACCTTAGTCACATGCTGCCTACATAAATGACTATAAAATCATCTTTGTCTCCACATGATGTATTAAATCATGCACTCTACATTTTCAACTTTAAAATGTGAATGCCAGTAAAACAATATGCTACAGACAGATTCTGGTATGATTGATCTCAAGTGACTTTGCTCTGGTCAGATAAAACTTCCATACTCTAGACAGTGGAAAAGACCCAATTTGGGGTGGAGGGAATGTTTGTGTTTTCTTACAGGAAAAGAAAAAAAGCTTTGTGGTTGCCAAAAACTTGGTAGAATGCATGGAGTGAATTAAAAACCGGACCTGAAACCATGGAAAGCTGTCCAAACCAGCCCAGGTGAAACATCCTGAACCAGTGTTCCTGACTGCATAGCCCCCTCCCCTGCCCAGTTTCCAAATTTTCTCCACCCACCCTCACCTCTGCAACCTCATTCTCTTCTAGTGTGAAGGTTTTACCACACTGAGTACATTCATAGGGTTTCTCTCCAGTATGTGTTCTTCTATGCATTTGAAGATCGCTTTGCCGAGCAAAGGCTTTACCACACTGAGTACATTCATAGGGTTTCTCTCCAGTATGTGTTCTTCTATGTCATTTGAAGTTGGCTTTGCCGAGCAAAGGCTTTACCACACTGAGTACATTCATATGGTTTCTCTCCAGTATGTGTTCTTCTATGCATTTGAAGATGGCTTGGCCGAACAAAGGCTTTACCACACTGAGTACATTCATAGGGTTTCTGTCCAGTATGTGTTCTTCTATGCACTTGAATATGACTTTGGCAAGCAAAGGCTCTACCACACTGAGTACATTCATAGGGTTTCTCTCCAGTATGTGTTCTTCTATGTACTGGAAGAGCACTGAGCTGAGGAAAGGCTTTACCACACTGATGAAATTCATAGCGTTTCTCTCTGGCATGTGTGTTTTCATGCATTTGAAGATGACTATGGTGTAGATAGGCATTACTACATTGATTACATTCATGGATTTTCCCTCTAGTCTGTGTTCTTTCATGACTTGGAAGCTGATTGTCATATCCAAAATATTTATGACATTGAATATATGCAGAAGGCTTCTCTCCCTTTGAACTACTTTCATGTCTGCAAAGGATAATTGACACAAGTAAAAGCTTTACTATATTCATGACCTCAGAATGGGTGTGGACTAGGGATGTACTAGGGGGAAAGAGGGGTGTGAGGATGCAAGGGGGCAAGAGGAGGGGTAGGAGAAAGAACTGGGATTGGAATGTAAAATGAACTCATGATTTAAAAAAATTTAAAAACTTAAATATTTATAATTAATTTTACAATTTTGTCTAATTTTAATAACTAATCAGGTATTAAGCTCATTTCACTTTGTTTACATTCATGGTGTACCCTTCATTAAAGATTGTTTTCAATTTGTGAAGTTTCTAATGCTAAGAAACTTTATTGCCTGGTTTACAATTATTGCATATTTTTCTCCATGAGATTTTTTTCATAAATATGGAGAACAAAAATAATTCTTACATTTATGGCACTTTTATCATTGATAAATTTTTCTCTATTGTGACTCAAATTACATTGAAAAGATGAATCAAGACAATGGGAAATATTTCCACCTTGCTTGTACACGTAGAGCTTTTCTGCAGTATAAAAATGAAGCTGGAAAACCAAGCACTTGTAAATTTAAATCATGTTCAACAATTCTGCTAAATACACAGTTTACTACATATCTTCTAATTGTTCTGAGATGGAGAGAAGCTCATTGCTCTTTTCATGTCCCTGTGTTCATATGGTTTGCATTTTGAGTGCCATAAGATATACCTACTAAAAGAAGAGTAAGAAATAAAAAGGTTTCCACACTGAAGTAATGGATTTTGTATTCGTGTTCTTCATGGACATAAGGTACAGGGATTAAGGATGTACATAGTCACCCCCAACTGAAATCATGATTCAAACTATCTATCTGACTGTACTTAGCAAAATCAGAACATTTATATGAGTAACAATAGCTTTACTATGAACTATTTGCTGATGAGAATGTGTTGGAAATATAATTAACACCTTTTCAATGTGTATACCTTCTGTAAAATGAGTGGTATGAAACTACATGGATTTGCAATTCTCATCAGCACACCTCTGATTGAACTATGACTCAAATGGTGTGAAAGCAGTCATATGTTGTCTTCCTTCCTAAAAGAGGACTTGCAAACATAATGCAGTTTCTACTTGATAAGGATTATGATCTCGTGACAATTTAATGATAGTCACTGTACTTTATGATGTGATTATGTACACTGATGCTTTTCTTTGCAAATTCCATACACATTAAAATATCTTCAGAGGCAAATTTATATCAGCAAAAACATAAAAATTACCTTGCATGCCTTTGAGAACTTTGGTGATGTTCTTTGATATTATCATCTTCCCATTTGTAGCCTAAAATATAGCATCAAAAATGTATGATATATTATTGAATATTGCTTGAAATTTAACTGTCTTCAATGATCCTTAGAAACATGACTGATTTATTTCCTTGGTCTTCTTCATTCTCATTCTAAATTACAAATGATCATCAATAACCAAGAAACAGTTGTCCCCTTATTATGAAGAGTGAAAGAAAATACACAGAATTACCTATAGCCTTGAGGTTCATATAGGTCTCCAGCATCACATCTTTGTAAAGATTCTTCTGTGAAGGATCTAGCAAAGCCCACTCTTCCTGAGTGAAGTTGATATGCAAATCTTGATAGGTTACTGCATACTACAATATGCCATACATGTAAAAAACAAAAATGCATGATAAAGACAGCACTGTAAATGTATCCTTCTTCCACAATATACACAATATAATGAAGCACTTTCCCCGTACTTACTCTATGACACAGGTATTATATATAAGTCACTTAAGAGGGAGCCTGATGGGGTTTAACCTCTATTATTTCTGAATGCTCAGAATGGTATATTATATCGCAAGAGAATTACCTATTAACAGACACAGAGAGACATGCAAACAGATCAACAGACTGAGTCTACTTCAGAGAAATTGGACAATTATTTCACATAATTGGACAAATGTAACAGAAAAAATTTTAAAAACCTTCATATAATTGTTGGAGAAGTCCAGTGTATATGTCAATATAGCACTGTTGGCCAATAGGGAAGTAACATAGGTGGGACTAGGAGTCCAGAAGGATTCTGGGTAGGAGAAACACTGGGAGTCAAGATGTAAATGCCTCAGGGATAAGAAGCCCAGAAACTTTACTCCCGTAAGAGAAATACTTAGGTTAACAATTATGGGATAAATACTTAAGTCAGAGCTAGCTAGTAAGAAACAAGCAAGGCCAACAGCTTCATAATTAAGATAGCCTCCTGTGTGTTTATTTGGGACTGAAGCAGCTCTGGAACCAGGCTGGCAGAAAGGCTTCCCTTTACAATAAATAAAGTAATTTTCCACAGCATAAACAAATGTAATACAACCTTATGCCAGTAGTCCACAACAGGGGCATGGAATTATTAGAGAGACAAAGAGGAAGGGAGTCATTATTTGTTTATCATTTAAATATTAATCATGGGGTACAGAGAAAAGAATTTTCAGTAAATTAAATTATACTGGTTATCAAACCTTTAAAATTGTTCAACATACTTAGGAACTAGGAAAGTATTAATTTTAACTTCTCTCTTATTATGTATCACCAAAGTCAGAATGCCCAAAATTAAAAAAAGTAGCACGTGCTGGCATTGAATGCAGAAAAGTGATCAACCATTTGTATGAAGGCTAACTCCAGATATACCATTATGAACCAGTATTACCACCCATATATATATATATATATTGAAGAAAGTCAATATACAACTCTAGAGAGATATTTATTAATACATGGTCACTGTGATTTATTTACAGCAGCCAGGAAAAGGAAACACCCTAGATTTGCATCAACTGATGAATGTCCTTGGATGGCAAGCAAACATACATATAGTTAATGTATTAAGGATACATCAGCTGAAGGGAGCAGCCCCCTCCCTTATGTTTTAGGAGCCATGACAGGTTAACATGTGCTTTCATGACCTTGGAACTCCTGTCCTTGTCACTAGGAGGACAGATGTCCTCCTCCTGGCAAGAAACCAATCAGAATTTAGCTGGCAAGGCTGTGCTTTAGGCTCTGGCTGTGCCTTATGGACAAGTGCACAACAGAGATAAGCAGAGCAGAAAAACCACCCTAGGAGGTCCTATGGGCCATAATAGCCACTTTACCAATTAACACGGGGCAGGTCATCCAAACCTGGAAGTGCACCAGTCATGAGACACCCCTGGAAACATCCCTTATGCTGCCCTATAAGATCCCTGCCTCATGATTTCTTGGGGTCTTTTCTCCAGTCATCAGCTTTGGTGGATGGCTGAAAGGACTGAACTAATGGGGTTAGCTTGTTAAACAGCAACAGTAAATGACTCTGCTTTTTCACCAAAATGGTCCTCTTGATGTTTTGGGGATTCAGATTTTGGTCAGAATGCAGCAGGATTATTTGCATCAGATTCACAGAAACACATGCAAATTAGCTCTGAACAATAAATAGAAATAATGAAAAATAGGATGGCTTAGGGGTTGCTTCAGACAATAAAGGCCTTTGCAATCAAGGCTAAAGCGTAGTTTCAATCACAAGACCACATCAGAAGGAAAGAAATTCCCTATAGCAGTCCTCTGGCATCCACAAAAGCACTGTCAAATGTGTGTATCTGGAAACAGTGTAATACAGAATGCACTTGTAAAGAGAAGCTTTTTCCTTGAGAGAAACTTTCCCGCCAGCCTGGTTCGAGAGCCGCATGAGTCCCAAATAAACACACAGGAGGATATATTAATTATGAAGCTGTTGGCCTTGCCTGTTTCTTCCTGGCTGGCTCTGACTTAAGTAATTACCCCATAATTGTTAATCTATGTATTTCTCTTACCGGAGACGTTCCGGGCTTTCTACCCCATGGCGGTTACATCTTGAATCTCTGTGTTCTCCTGTGTTTCTGCTTCCCAGAGTCCTTCTGGACTCCTAGTACCTCCTATCTAGGTTCCCTATTGGCCAGCAGTAATTTATTGACATATACACAGGACTTCCCCAACATGCACTTGTTTACAAAAGCAAGACATGTATTGATCTTTTCATGTTCTTTCATTTCCCTAATGAAAGGACACCTTCTTGTATCATATAGCCATTACACTACAACTTCTGCATCTATAATCTACACTCAAGCATTCCCACTAACTCTCTTATCTTCAGTGACATTATTTTGATCATTGTTGTTCCTTGGTAGGAGAAAAATAATTGCAACATGATGTGCAAATCTCTCACCAATAAATAAGATGAATAGTTTTTTTTTCTTTTTGGTTTTCAATAAAGACTTGCTCTGTGTAGCTTTGGAGCCTCTCCTGCTACTTGCTCTGTACAGAAGGCTGGCTTATACCTCAAGGAGATCTGACTGCCTCTGCCTCATGAGTACTGGGATTAAAGGTCTTATCAATAAAAACATGGCAAATGAATGCTTCTCAAACTCACAAAAAAATTTATAAATTATATACAGGAAAGTACTGCGAAACTGGTAGTGTGCTGATTTTCCACAAGTAAACATTATTATAAAATTAAGATTCAAAATAGGAGTAGAAAACCACAAAATATGACAATATGAATGGTGATTCCATCTCTTAAGATATTTCATTTTCCTTCAAAAGAAACCATTTCTGAAGCTCTTACAATCACTCAATTACAACCCCATTCTTTCATCAAGAAGGACATGTCTAAGTCTTGAAATCACTGTATTCAAAGTAATGTGAAATAGAAAGCAACTTGCTTTACCATGTTTTCAAGTGAATATCAGACGGGATTAAAGAAACTATAACTTATCTGCCAAGTAGCTTTACAACATAAATCATTCAAATAAATCTCCAAGACTTTCAAACACTCAGCCATGGCTGAATGAGGAAAGCTTTTCTGTATTCAATGGTTTTAATTTTAAATGTCTATTTATTGTAAAAATGTGTAAGAGGCAAATTTTGCTCATGTATTATTGTCATGCTCATTTTTTTCTGACTCAAAGGGACTCTGAGTTAACATTAGTCAATTCAGAAATAAAATCCCAACAAGATAAAACACTGGTTTAGACTTGTGATTCTCAAGAATTCAAACTAAAGAGCACAATATGTCCACAAATTTAGAGGACAACATACAGTAACAATCTCTGGTTGACAGAAGCCTACAGTGGAGTATATAAAACACATATTCAAATGACCAATTGGTTGTTTGCCATGCGTTCATATTACAAACAATAAGTGTAACAGCTGTGGTCATAGTGCACACTTGTAATCCCAGCATTTCTTGTACCAGAAGAAGGATCAGAAGTTCCCAGATACAAATTAGGTGAAGATCAGTCTGGGCTACCTCAGAGCCTGTCAGTAAAACTTAGCTAAACAAACACTAGCAATTATGTCAAACAGAGACCACATTAAAAATATTTCCTAAGATGTGGGCAAAAACTGAGGAATGGGAGCAAATGCTCAGCAATTGAGAACACTAGTTAATCTTCTAGGGGACATAGGTTTGATTTCCAGAATCGACATAGAAGCACAATGACCAACTTTAACCCCAGTTGCAAAGAATCTGGCATCTATGGATACAAGAAATCCCATTGGTACAGATATAACACATGCAAGCAAAGTTCAAACACATAAAAACATAAATAACAGCTAGTGTCTTCTAATAGGAAAGTTGCTAAGAGTGGAGCAGGAGGGGCTACATAATGTCTTGGGCAATAATAGAAACATAAATAAGCAATAATAGTATAAAACAAGTTCCAGGGTTGCATACATAGTTTCACTATGCTGAATTAGAGACAAGGGCATGCTTGGATCATATACTTAATTTCTTGCTCTCCTCATTTTTAACATGGGCTCCTACATTCACTGCAAACACCAAGTGATCCTAAGTCAGCTGACTAAGCAGGTCTAGGGACATGACAAAAGAAATCACTGAGTGTCCACACACGGATCACAACCTATTCTCAGTGGCCTAAAAGAACATATAGTGACTGCAGGAAAACTTTCTTTCTTTTTGGGGGTAGGGGCGAGAAGGAAGGGAGTGAGATGGGTTTCAAGCCAACTCTGTGGTTTTGGATGCTGTCCTGGAACAAGCTCTTGTAGTCCATGTTGGTCTCAAACTAACAGAGATCCACATGCCTCTGCATGCTGAGTGATGCCATTAAAGGCTTGCACCACCAACACCTGGCTTAAAACTTTTATTTCTCAATTTTATGTTTGACTGTACATTTCCGGTACATTATTACTGTTACCAAAAAGAAATTATAGCTTCCCTTTAACACACATAATCTCGATATATTTCCATAGCACTGAAAATATATCCCAAATTTAACTACTCTGAACTTGAAATTCCTAATTTCCAACTGAATGAGAGGAAATGTCCATCCCAATGATCATGTACCAGTAAGAAAGAGCTACATTTGTTAGCAGATTTTACATTTTCTGCAATACAAAATCAGTAATTTAGACATATATTAGCAAATAATAATAACTAGAAGATAAATGATATTATACTGACCTCACAAATGTAATCCCAGCTGTTGGAATTTAGCATGATTACCCCAAGTGTGAGGCCAATCTGGTTTACATATTTGTAATCCGGTACAGCTACCCATCAAAAATAGCTCAGATATACCCATTCATTGGTTAATTTAATTTTGAAAAACAGGGCAACTATAATTTCTAAAACATTCTTAGACTTTTTAAGAAAAAGAAATAAACTTCCTTACACACACTCTCAATCCTTTCCACAAGAAAATCCTGAGTTTTTATTAAAAGATCACACCTTAAAACTAAGAAGTCATCTCACAGGACAATTATACTCCTGTGAGAAAAGCAAAGATGAAGTAAAAACTAATACAAAATATTTACTAATCAAATATCCTGATTTGTTTACTGAAGTCATTCCAAAGACAAATATTCTCAGATATCAAACAATCATTTTTTTTTTTGGTTTTTCGAGACACGGTTTCTCTGGGGCTTTGGAAGCTGTCCCGGAACTCACTTTGTAGACCAGGCTGGCCTCGAACTCACAGAGATCTACCTGCCTCTGCCTCCCGAGTGCTGGGATTATAGGCATGCGCCACCATCTCCGGGCTGCTCTTATTTATTTATACATACAATATGAAGGAAAGCTGAGTAATAATGACGATTTAGAAGTAATTCCTATAGACAGGGGACAAAAGGACAAAAACCAAACATTATTCACACAGGTCTGAATGAAAAATCAAGACAGGACCCAGGACAGCCTCCAAAACAATAAAGAGATACCCTGTCTCAAACCCCACCCAAAAAATCAAAACAAACTAATTTTCATGACATCACAATACTAATGTCTTCTATACTTAAAACTAAAGAGTCTGTAAAATGTCAGTTTCCCCAACCATTGCAGCTTAACAAGGTGCTGATAGAGACTCTAAATGATTTTCCTATTCTACTGATATTAAGTGGAAAATTAATTTACTCATCTTCTACTGACAGGAACCAACATTTCCATATATTACACTTCACAAATATGTATTTTTAGCTACAACAGAGACTAGGTCAATGAGGTCAGAACTTGACAGAACACACTGCTATATCACACAAATGATAAATAACAAATTGAAAAAAATCAGTCTTGTGAAAATTTGTTGAATACATATATCCTAAGTATTTCTAAAATTCTAATACTGATTTTGAAAGTGTCTTGGTGGGTGAATGTGTGTGTATGTGTTTGTGTGTGCACATTTGTATGATATTTGTATTTCTGTGTTGTAGGAGGAAGTCTGATGCCGCCATTAAACATGTGACTTACTAAGTCTATGCCGCCATTAAACATGTGACTTACTAGAGGCGCATACAGATGAGGTAATAAAAGGGCGGGTTACCACACCGCTAACCACACCCACTTTAGGCAGGACTAAAGACATATACGGCTGGACGTAAAGACGTATACGTACGTAGGCGGAACTACGTCACTAGCCAGGCCCACTTTTGGGCATGGCTAGGGGCGTTACGGGGGAAGGCATAAAAGACAGCGCACAGGAAGTCTCGCTCTCTTTTCCTGGAGTTCGGCTTCCGGTTCAGTCGCTAGCTGAGATCTGCTGGGCTTCTCGGGTTTTGGTATCTTGTGAGTAATTTTCTACATAAAATACTTAGCGTTACTTTCAGTCATTGTGTGTCGCGTATCGTTACAGCGTCCGTAAAGCCAACATTTTGGTGTCAGAAGTGGGATTGGAATCGGGACCCAGGCGCTTCTCTCGGCCTGACCAGGCACACGTGGACTCTCCTTTCGCTAAGTTCCTCACCACTTCGCTCGGCAAGGCACGATTCCTGCCGCCAGGAACCAGCACCTTCTACCTGCCGGTAAGGTTAGGCGGAATTCCAAGGTTTCTCTCGTGGCCACGTGCTGTTTTACTGGCGGCCAGCTGACTCCGGCCACGTGCTCTTTCGCTGGCAGCCTGTTGATTTCGGCCTGAATTACTACATTGGTAACAAACGTAACTGCTTTATACAATGTCAACAGCTAACACTATGATGCAGGATGTTAAGAATTTTCTTGTTTTTTGTATGGATGGGATTTTAGAAAGGGTTGAGGACCTACCTGAAAGGTGCTTCCTACCCATGATGGTGATTATTAGCTTCATAATCAATATAATTTTGTTAATGAAATGGCTCAAAAATAGGAATAAACTTATACAGGTCATACAGTCATCGCAGGATAGTTTTGAAATCTTAATACAAAGGATTCAGGAAATGCAAAATTCATTGCAGGAGAGTAAGAAAGGGTTGGTAGAAAATATTCAGGATATTAAAAATGATAATGTAGGTCTGACGAACAGGTTTAAAGAGACGGAACACAAAATTGAATTATTTTCAGGAAAAATGTGTTCCATAGATAGAATTGAAAAATTGGAACATAATGTGGAAACATTTAACGACAAACACGGTTCCATGTTTGATGATTTCACTAGCAAATTACAAAGACTGGAACATAAAATTGAAATGCTAGCAGAAAAGAATTGTTCCATGTCTGAGAGCAATGGTAAACTAACTGATAGAATATCATTTGTAGAAGGCAGTTTACATGCTATTGAGGTACTTGCTAAGGATGAGAATATTAGAAATTTGGAATCACATGTAAATGATGAATGTAAAAAAATGAAAGATTCCATGACATCCTTAGAAAATCATTTGTCCCAAGAACTTCAAGAGCTCAGAGAAACAATGATGAATAGACTGCAGGATTTAGAAGACGCTCAATCTGATACTTCAGAATCAGAAATACAGGCAACAGGTCAGGACAGGAGTTTCCCAAAGCTTCTCAAATGCCGGAATGATTTCCCTAAGGTTGCTATGCGTTCCCCTATGGTTTTTCCAGTATCTGTATCAGAAAAACCAGCAACGAAAAAACAATCAAATGGTCCCATTGCTTATCACTGGGAGCCTATACAGATGAAGGATCTAAAAAATATTAAGGAGGCCATTGTCATGTATGGTCTTCATTCTCCCTTTGTCAGAGAGCTCCTAACCTCATGGGCTACTGTAAATAAAGTAACCCCAAAAGACTGGGCCCAATTAGCCTCTGCAGTGCTCGAAAATTCTTGCCAAATTCAATGGAGAGCTTTGTGGAGGCAAGAAGCAAAAGCAATTGAGATTCAGGAATTACAGAACGGTCAGGAAGTACCCCAAGACAAGATTCTTGGGGAGGGTCCTTACGCTGACACGCAGGTTCAATCTGCATATGACGAGCACATGTTGTCTTTGTGCCGTACAGCTGCGTTAAATGCCTTGGATAAGGTTTGTGAAACAGGAGAGATAATGCAACCCTACACCAAGGTATTACAGGGCCCAAGGGAAAGGTTCACTGAATTTTTAGAGAGATTATCCAGAGCAGTAGAGGTACAGGTAGCGAACCCAGAATCCAGGCGTCTTCTTATAGAATCTTTGGCGTATGAGAACGCGAATCCTCAATGCAGGCAGGTAATTTGGCCATTAAAAATAAGATCAGCGCCATTGGAGGAATGGGTCCTGCATACAGCGAACCTGGAATGTAAAAGTCAGGATACAGGAGCTTGGGTAGGTGAAGCTATTTCTACAGGCTTGAGGAGGCACCAGGATGCCAAATACCCTACCTGTGATGATATAGAGGCATGGGTAGGGAAGGCAATCTCAAAGAATTTAAATAGGCGTAAAGATGCAACATGCTTTAACTGTGGTAGAATAGGACATCTTAGTAGGAACTGTAGACAACGCATTCCTAGAAATAATGCTTTTACCAGGAATGCATCAAACAGAAGGCTTAAGCCTCCTGGTCTATGCAGGAGGTGTGGGAAGGGGCGCCATTGGACTGATGAATGCTTTTCCACAATAGACAGACAAGGTAGATCTTTACAGCAGGGAAACGGGGTTCAGGGACTCAACCGAGCCCCGAAAAGAGAAATTATCCGGTCATTCCCAGTGACAGTGGAGGACAGCCTCTCCCAGGACAATTAGAAGATCCACTGCCCATTGTAAATAATACGGCACTGGATAATACATTAGCTACAGAGGATGAATCAATTATATCAGGAGGAGGAAGATAACAGCACATCTACAAATTCATAGTCCACCATGGGTAAAGTACCTCCTAAAAGGAAAGAGAAGTGTTTTGTTTTTTGTATTCACAGGTAAACTCAGCAAAGAATACTGGACATATGGATTCCTGTAGAAGAATGAATAGCTACCTGAGGAACATCAAACACACACTGTGTGGTATCAAAGTCTAAATCTCTCTATATTGCTTTTTCATAGTATCCTTTTATCTTTATTTCTTCACATACCTCAGTTCCCATTCATTTAACTGAAGCTGGCTTTGGAGTTGGATTGGCTCTCCTACTCTAAACCCAAGCATATTATTTAAATACAATTCAGAATTTCTGTATTATATCAAAGAGCCATTGATATAAGACAGAAGAAATAAAATGAGGGACTGTTATCTATGGATTTCTTTTTCTGAACAGTCTAATTTCCTCCAGGTTTTCCATCTTCCCTATTGTCACCTCTTTTGTATGCATACATATGAAAGTTAAAATATTTCTTTGTTAACATTAATGTTTGAGTTTTCCAGAGAACAAGGTATTTCCTGACAGCAATCTTCAACTGCTTCCGAAAGAGAATGAGGATCCACTTCCTTGACTTCACCTGATTCGACTGGAGGCATCTGAATTGCCCCACATCATTGACTCCACCTGACAAGCACTATCCTGAAACTGGCTTGAAACTACATCACTCTACACATCTCCAGACCAAGAAACTGAAACAGCACATCTTCTACAATCTGACCAGAGCTTCAAGATAAGAGCTTCAATCAACACTAGAACCCTAGTCAGGAACTACAATCAAGCATCTCCTGCCATACTGAGACTGTCTGATCTACTGAGATTTTGTTATACTAACATTTTCTTTTCACAGGTCCCCATGAGGTTATCATCGTCCCATCTCAGCAGGAAGTTGTTTTGAGAATTCCACGCCCCTCTCCCTACTATTGATATTATAAGATTACACCTGTTAGTGTTAGTTTTCAATTATTTTAGAGTTGGGATTGGAAGGAGGTGTTCATATTTGAGTGTTTCTTTAAGATAAGTTTAGGTTTAGATAGAATAGATGTTTGATACATTTTGTTCATGGACACAAGTTAGTTGTCCTTTTTTAGACTAAAAGGGGAATTGTAGGAGGAAGTCTGATGCCACCATTAAACATGTGACTTACTAAGTCTATGCCGCCATTAAACATGTGACTTACTAGAGGCGCATACAGATGAGGTAATAAAAGGGCGGGTTACCACACCGCTAACCACACCCACTTTAGGCAGGACTAAAGACGTATACGGCTGGACATGAAGACATATACGTACGTAGGCGGAACTACGTCACTAGCCAGGCCCACTTTTGGGCATGGCTAGGGGCGTTACAGGGGAAGGCATAAAAGACAGCGCACAGGAAGTCTCGCTCTCTTTTCCTGGAGTTCGGCTTCCGGTCCAGTCGCTAGCTGAGATCTGCTGGGCTTCTCGGGGTTTGGTATCTTGTGAGTAATTTTCTACATAAAATACTTAGCGTTACTTTCAGTCATTGTGTGTCGCGTATCGTTACAGCGTCCGTAAAGCCAACACTGTGTGTATTATGTGCTTTATGTGATGTGTTTAGTTTTCTTTCTGAGTATGTTTGTACTAATGTTTATGTGTGTGTTTGCAGTGTGTCTGTGTTTTTGCATAAGGGGGAATTAATGTTTATGCATATGCAGTGTGAATATTTGTGTTTCTGTATGATAGAGAGGTTTTGTGTTGCAAATACATGTTTGATTTGCCAGTGCATGTACATAGTATACAATATATGTAGTGTCCAAAAGACAACTTTCAGTACTTGGTTCTCTCTATCATGTGTTGTCAGGAACAAGCTTATTGTACTTGTACAGCAACAGTATTTGACCTGGTGAGTCACAAATACACGTGAATAAACTTCATAAAATGATAGCAGGCACCTAAAGTCTATAAAAGCAAGCTGTCCTATGTGGTTATTTTAGAAACATACAAGAATTAATTCAGGTTTCATATTGATCCTGCTTAGGTCAACTTCATGAATAAGGGATTCTAATATTGAAAATAAATTTTATTAAAGCAACAGTTGCTACATTTACCCAATTCACAATATCCACAGGTCTATATAGTTACAAACATCAGTTTGAAACTTCTCTATGGCTAAATATTACAGAAAAGCCTTTGCCACACCATGGAGTTGGCAATTAAAGATGTACACAATTTATAATCCCACTCATTAGTATAGGCAGGTGACAGTGAAGACCTTAAACTTTAGAAACCACAGCATACTTGTATAAGCTTATAAACTGTCTTTGTGAAGATTCCTCATGATGCCAAGGAGAGAGTTCCTCCTATGAAACTCTAGAGCTACAAATTACACGTATGAATATTCAAACATTTTACTTAAAATAACATGTTTTTTAAGATTATTTTTTGAGACAGGATTTCTCTGTGGCTTTGGAGGGTGTCCTAGAATTTGGTCTTGTAGACCAAGTTGGTCTTGAACTCACAGAGATCTTCCTGCCTCTGCCACCCGAGTGTTGGGATGCACCAGAAATGCCCAGCTTAGAATTCCATTTTCTAGTATTCATCCAGTAACTGCTACAATTCATATTAACTAAGATGGTGTTGAGTAAGCTGGAGGAAGCTCTTCTTGCAATCCTGACAAGCACTAAATTTAGTTACCATTTCTCCAGACTAGTTGGGTTTTGTTTTCAAATACCCCATATTATCCCCCCAAATTCTGTGAATGGCACAATGGATGTAACCAAATGACATAAGTTTCTGGAGATGCTGTTATATAGCTCTCATTGCCTGAGTCACTTTCAATCATAACTCTACAAGAAATTGTGAACCTAGCTCTTCAGACCTAACACTATCTTTTATGAATGATTGGAATACATGACTCATAATCCAAGCACTAAAAAGGAGTGAAGAAAGCTGCCATGAGTCAGTGGCATTCCTGGGCTGGATAACAAAACAACAACAAGAAAATCACATTTCAGGCCCATATTTTGTACCATCTTTCTGATTAAATTCTCGAGCCAAACCAACTCAGGTAGTGAACAGGTTAACTTGGTTGATATCCTATGTCACTGTCCAACCTAGTGTGAATTTATGCTAGAAACTCAAGCAATGAATAAAGGTAAAACATGAGGAAACATTGCTTCCTAGCTATCTCTCTTGCCTTGTTATTTTCTAGTGCTATGCTAGCTCTCTTACCCAGCCCAGGCCTACTTGCTGAGAAATATGGCCAACTCAAAGGAATAGACTTCACACATCAATCATAATCAACACAAATTCTCTCAGACACAGCCATCAGATATTCTGATCTAAGCACACCCTCAACTGATGTTCACTCAGATGTCTCTAGGCTAGGACATGTTGACAGCTGAGGCTAATTGGGAAAAAGACCATGTATTAGAACACAGTGAAGAGTCTGTGTGAGAGACATTGAGGCAGAAAAGGGATACTGGGAATAATATAACTGTAACAAAAAATATATGTCAGAAATTTGAAACAGGCTTTAGAGCCATGAGCTCCAGACACTGGGATTTGTACTAAATCATAGCAAGTACTGCCCACATGGTTTCTTTGAGGCATACATTTTAACCTGGAAATCACAATCATGTTAGGAAGGGCCACAGCATTTTATCCAGTTCCTCTATTTTGCTTGAACTTCTGTAATTTTAGCAATTTTGTTTAATGATGAGTTTAGTTCTGTTTTTAATAACTACTTCCTTTTTAAAGATTTATTTATTTATTATGTGTAGGGAGAGATCTATGTACCCTTAGTGCTGACCATGCCTCCCAATAGCTGTTTTATCTCCCTTACATTCTCCATACATGTCCCCACGCACAAAGGTGTGTGGTCAGCTCTATGGGTAAGTAGATCTCTCCCTACAATTCCCATTTTAGTCTAAAGAAAAGATTTAGACTTTAAACAAAACTCAATTGTGCCAATACACAAAATGCCACAAACATGTATAAAGCATATATACATAGAAGATGATAAAGAAATTATAATCTACCGATATGCTATCCCAAGCATGTCTATCCCATCTAAAACCTAAACATATCTGAAAGCAGTGCCTAAGTCTGAATACATCTTTCCAATTATGAATAGAGTGTTCTTCCTGGGTGTATGCCTGCAAGCCAGATAAGGGTACCAGATCTCATTATAGATCCTTGTCACCCAACACATCACTGTGGGAAACTGAACTGAGGACCTCTGGAAGAGCAGTCACAGCTCGTAGACTCTCAACCTTCTCTCAAGCCCATGAATTCAGTTCTTTACCCACACAGTTTAACAGTGGAGTGCTCCTCTACACAGGAAGTCTTGTTTTCAAGCTCCACATGATTAACTCGAAGTGCATTGAAAATATAAATAGTACACTTTGCAAGTGCAGAACTTCTGAAGACAAAAAAGGGACCACAGCTCTCTGTGTTTGGCAAATCTGTTTGATAGTGACAGGACAAGCACTAAGGGTGCCTACATTTAACAGTCATGTCGCGGCAGGAAGATGGCGGCGGTAGTGGAGGTATGAGCGGACCCGGGTCTCTGCCGCTGGCTTGGCTCTTCCCTTCTTCCCTCCTCCCTCCCTGCCTGAGGTTGGCACCTAGGGGGCCGAGTTCAGGTGGCGGCGCCGGGCGCAGCGCAGGGGTCACGGCCACGGCGGCTGACGGCTGGAAGGGCAGGCTTTCTTCGCCGCTCGTCCTCCTTCCCCGGTCCGCTCGGTGTCAGGCGCGGCGGGGGCGGCGGCGGCGGGCGCGCTTCGTCCCTCTTCCTGTTCCCTCCCACCCCGGAGCGGGCACCCTTGGCTGTGTCATCCCCCGACCCTTCACCCCAGGGGCTGGGCGCCTGCACTGGCACAGCTTGCGGAGCGGGGGCCGGTCTCCTACTCGCCTGTCGCGCCTCCATGTCGGATAACCAGAGCTGGAACTCGTCGGGCTCGGAGGAGGATCCAGAGACGGAGTCCGGGCCGCCTGTGGAGCACTGCGGGGTCCTCAGCAAGTGGACAAACTATATTCATGGGTGGCAGGATCGTTGGGTAGTTTTGAAAAATAATACTTTGAGTTACTACAAATCTGAAGATGAGACAGAATACGGTTGCAGGGGATCCATCTGTCTTAGCAAGGCTGTGATCACACCTCATGATTTTGATGAATGTCGGTTTGATATCAGTGTTAATGATAGTGTTTGGTATCTTCGTGCTCAGGACCCAGATCACAGGCAACAGTGGATAGATGCCATTGAACAGCACAAGACTGAATCAGGATATGGATCTGAGTCCAGCTTACGTAGACATGGCTCAATGGTGTCACTGGTGTCTGGAGCAAGTGGCTATTCTGCTACATCCACATCTTCATTCAAGAAAGGACACAGTTTACGTGAGAAATTGGCTGAAATGGAAACTTTTAGAGACATCTTATGTAGACAAGTTGATACTCTCCAAAAGTATTTTGATGTCTGTGCTGATGCTGTATCCAAGGATGAACTTCAAAGGGATAAAGTGGTAGAAGATGATGAAGATGACTTCCCTACAACTCGTTCTGATGGAGACTGCTTGCACAATACCAACGGTAATAAGGAAAAATTATTTCCACATGTAACCCCCAAAGGAATTAATGGTATAGACTTTAAAGGGGAAGCGATAACTTTTAAAGCAACTACTGCTGGAATCCTTGCTACACTTTCTCATTGTATTGAATTAATGGTAAAACGGGAAGAGAGCTGGCAAAAAAGACATGATAAGGAAATGGAGAAGAGAAGACGATTGGAGGAAGCATACAAAAATGCAATGGCAGAACTTAAGAAGAAACCCCGTTTTGGAGGGCCTGATTATGAAGAAGGCCCAAATAGTCTGATTAATGAAGAGGAGTTCTTTGATGCTGTTGAAGCTGCTCTTGACAGACAAGATAAAATAGAGGAACAGTCACAGAGCGAGAAGGCCAGGTTACACTGGCCTACACCTTTACCATCTGGAGATGCCTTTTCTTCTGTTGGAACCCATAGATTTGTACAAAAGGTTGAAGAGATGGTACAGAACCACATGACTTATTCATTGCAGGATGTAGGTGGTGATGCGAATTGGCAACTGGTTGTAGAAGAAGGAGAGATGAAGGTATACAGAAGAGAAGTCGAAGAAAATGGGATTGTTCTGGATCCTTTGAAAGCTACCCATGCAGTTAAAGGTGTTACAGGACACGTGGTCTGCAATTACTTTTGGAGTGTTGATGTTCACAATGACTGGGAAACTACTATAGAAAACTTCCATGTGGTGGAAACATTAGCTGATAATGCAATCATCATTTATCAAACGCACAAGAGAGTATGGCCTGCTTCTCAAAGAGATGTGCTGTATCTTTCTGCTATTCGAAAGATCCCAGCCTTGACTGAGAATGACCCTGAGACTTGGATAGTTTGTAATTTTTCTGTGGATCATGACAGCGCTCCTCTGAACAATCGATGTGTCCGTGCCAAAATCAATGTTGCTATGATTTGTCAAACCTTAGTAAGCCCACCAGAGGGAAACTAGGAGATAAGCAGAGACAACATTCTGTGCAAGATTACATATGTAGCTAATGTGAACCCAGGAGCATGGGCACCAGCCTCTGTGTTAAGAGCAGTGGCAAAACAAGAATATCCCAAATTTCTGAAACGTTTTACTTCTTACGTCCAAGAAAAAACTGCAGGAAAACCAATTTTGTTTTAATATATTCAGTGACTGAAGCAAGGCTGTGTGACATTCCATGTTGGAGAAAGAAAGAAGAAAAATTGAGTTCTCTAAGCTGGAACGCAGGATCTACAGCCTTGTCTATGGCCCAAGAAGAAACATTGCAATAGTAAAGCTGGGTATCCAACACTAGCCATCTCCTGATAGATCTCCTTGCTCAGCGTGTAATTATAAATACATGTAAAATCACATGTATATGGCTATATTTTTATTTGCTTGCTCCTAGGAGAGAAAAAAATTAACTTTGAATTACAACTACGAATTAATTGCTTTAATTTTGGGGAACTTTTTCAGAATTTTTTATTTACTGTGGTCCAGCCTAAAGTGCTCAGTTGTATCAAGTTTTGTGCACAAAAGAAAAGCACAGAAGTTGAATGCACCTGAGGCTTGTGCTCTCTGTGCACCAAATATTCAGATGGGCTTTTACAGGCCTACAGTCTGCGTCTGTGTCTAGAGGTTTTTGACTTTTTGCTTTGTATAATCATAGAATCTATTGCTGCTGATTTCTATAAGGATTCATGTTGTATGTCTCTTCATAACTGAGGACTGTCGATAACCTGTGATTTTGCCTTTTCTATTGTCTTACTCCCATGAAGAACATTGGTTCTGATGGAGAAAGAATGAAAAGCTTTATTTTCTCCCCCAGATATCTTTATATTTTTATTATATATTTTAGTTGTGTACTATATGCTACCAACATTTTTCAGTTTGTTACGAACACAATTTGGTATTCCTAAATTGGTTCTGCCTGCCTCCAGTCAGAAACATCTGTATATTTCTTGTGGGTATAAGTACTTTATAATACAATGGTCAGGATAAAATTAGTTCATATTTTTCCTGAGATTTGTAAGAAAATATATGGTATTATTGTTAAACCAAATCAAACTGTTTGAATTTGACATTTGATTTAATATTTCTAGTATTCTGTAACAAATATGTTAATTTTTCTAGCTTGAATCACTTTAAATGATATATCGAAAGGTATACATAGAAAATCTGAGCAATGCTCCCATTTGCCTCTTGATCATAAAATTTAGCAGAACAGTAGGATTCCACACTATTCAAACTGAAATGCTTTCTTTAGTTTCTATAAGAACCTAACATGTAAAATACCTAGTTTCTATAAGAACCTAACATGTAAAATACCTGACTTAGTTGTAGTCCTCTGTGAAAAACTTTGAAACATGGAGTTGAGGCAAGGAATGGTACTCACTGAAGTTGAGATGACTGCCCACTTCAAACTCTTCATTGTGTTTACAAGCAGATGTATTTATGTATATCAGAGGCATTTGTAGATGCTTTGCTGGCGTGTTCCTCTCCTTAGAAACACAAAAATCAGACCCCTTTTGTAAAGCAGAAAGTCATGTCATGTAAAACATGATCTGTATATATTCCATACGTGGAAATGGAATCTAAATGATAAATGCAAGGTGTGATAATTTAATGATGGGATTAGTCTGATCAATTAATATGCACAATCCTGGAAGTGAATTACTTGCATCAGATATAATGATATTTATTACTCTGTACAGAGAGAAAAGTACATATAAAACATAGAGCTTACATTACATGCACGCAGTTTCATGTCCCATAAATCTTTTATATTTTTAATTTACCTTTCTCTAAATGATGTGCATGGAATATGCCTTATTACAGAAATGCTATTCATAATTTGACTCTGTGGAAAAGTGCCTATATAGTGGTAATGCTAGGAAGGCAAGAAAGACAGATTATCATACCAGTTTACATCACCAGTTAACATTTTATATTGTGATGTTTAAAAAAAGAAAAGTTTATACCTCAAATGTGTATTTTATTTTACAATCAGCTGTGGGGTTGGGATGGGAGAACTTGGAGGGTTGGGAGTGAAAGTTTATTTGCCGTAGGCACTGGTGGGAATCTTTAAAAAAAAACAAGGAAAAAACTCTACACCCACTATAAATGTTCCTCTGTTTGCATCTCTGGTAACTATGATGAACCAGACAAGTAACTCTTTCATAACTAAATTGGAAAGTTTTATTTACAAAGATATGCAAGTTTCTGAAACAGTATCTGAATCTAATTATCACCAGTTGCATTTGCGCTAAATGTGGTGATAGACTTTTTCAATTTACTCTGTGAATAAAATGTTACACTGAAAATGTTTATATTTAAAAAAAGATAAGAAATGATACATTTTACCTTTCAATAATTGCACTTGTACTTCATTGGCATTAATCCTGCCCAATCAGATTTAGAACTGGTTCAGAAATGTGTAGAGTATTCAAAAAAGTCAAAGTGAGGAGGAGCACTGGCCATTTTTTTATAATATTCAGTCCCTCAAGAATTACTTTCATTTGGCTAATTCCTACATACTGAATATTTATGATGTTTCTTCATACATGGGTATTTCGCTTTATCTAAGCCCCCATTCCATGCCCCCCCAAACAAGCCCCTGTGCTCAATTCTCATGGATTATTTTCTGCTATGTATGTTAGACACCTGAAAAATATTGATAATGTGGGGATTTGTTCCTGCATGTGAGTGAACTGGATGAGACAGCAGAGTGTTCGTTCCCCTTGGGACTGAGGACTCTGTATTTGAGGTGGAGAAACTTGATGTGGTGTTTCTACAGGAGGAGCAGCAGAGGAAAGGGGGTACCGGTACCTAAGAGAGGTTTGAGGAGGAAATGAAGAAAAGGAAACATGGCTTTCTCATCTGTTCGTTTTCATGACTAATTTATACATCTATACAATATCAGTGTCAGTTGCTACTGAAAATTTTAGCTGGGCTGAGCTGGTTCGCTTGTGAAATTGTGCTGGTTATCTTTATGCTTATCAGTTATTTGTCTGATCAGACACTTTAACGGTATTTAGTCCAGGCTGTACAGATGATGTATTTGAATTGTTGTCATTGTTCATCTACAGAGTCAAAACATAATCATTTTCAAAGTACTTTGGGAGTGTGTAGAGTGTAACTATAATAGCTTTATGATTCTGATGATTTTTAAAAAAAATAAAAGATGGATCTTCCATGTTACAATCACAAAATTAAAACCAGTATTTAAAAGTGGAGAAGTATTAAAATATTATGGACAAATAAAAAAAAAGTCATGTCAATAAGGATATTTCAAAGCACAGTCCCAATACCAATGCTGTGCATATGCACAGCCAGCAAACTGAACATACTCAAGAACCCACCAGCTGGCCCAGAAAATTGCAAATTCCATGCAGGCTGTTAGGATCACATGGAAATATACCGGGGCATACAGGACCATTAGGACCATACAGGACAATGCAAGACCAGGCAGGAACATGGCAAACTCTGCTTCTAGTCTCATGAGTCAAAAGGATGTGATAGACATCTATGTAATATAACCACTAAATATTAAGAATATTCTTTTGCACAACAATCTATGGAACTATCTCAAAAATTCGCCAAAATAATGAATAAACACATCTATAAGTTATTAGAAAAGTGAAATAACACCCTGAATACTACAAAAACACTATGAATTAAAGCTGGATATCAACAATAACAACAGGTAATAACAACATGTAAAACTCATGGAAGCTAAACAACTCATTAACAAGTGAGACAGGAAATCAAGAGAGAAATCAAGAATGAGAGTGAAAACACAGCATGTCTGAAACAAGGGACACAATGAAGGCAGTTCAAAGAGGCAAATTCAAAGCACTGAATGCCTACATAAAAGTACTAGAGTGATTTCTCATTAATATCTTCAATACAAACTAGACAGCACTACAAAAACAATACTCAATATTGTATGTATAAATAAATAAGAACAGCCGGGCATTGGTGGTGCACGCCTTTAATCCCAGCACTCGGGAGGACGAGTCAGGCAGATCTCTGTGAGATCGAGGCCAGCCTGGTCTACAGAGACTTCCAGGACAGCCCCCAAAACAAAACAGGGAAACCCTGTCTCAAAAACAAACAACAAAAAAAAAAAAACAAAAACAAACAAGAAAAAATAAGAGCACTGGAAAACCAGGAATAAAATCAATGTGTTAGAAAAGCACAGCAACAGGAATAACCAAAGGAAGAATAAGCAAAATGCCATGTTGTTTTCACAAATAAATTGATTAAATGGCAGCCACTTAGACAAATTAGTCAACATGAGAGAGAATATGTAAATTACTAATTTGATATGAAAGAGATGAATTTACATGGGATTCTGAGGGAAGTGAGAGAATCATAAGGACATACTTTTACATTTTTTTTTCATGAAACTTGAAAACCTAAGAACAAAAAACACAAAGGTGGTATTTTGTCCTGATGTGTTTGACCTATGAAAGTGAAAACACATCTGCACAACTATGCTCATAGCAGCATTATTTGTGATAGCCAAAATCTGGAAGCAATCTAGATACCCCTCAACTGAAAAATGGATAGAGAAAAGTTGGTAAACAATGGAGTATTACTCAGAAAAAAAAAAATGTAATCTTGAAACTTGCAGGCCAATGGATGGCACTAGAGGAAACCATTCTGAGTGAGATAACCCAGTCACAAAAAGGCAAGCATGGTATGTACTCATTCACATAAAAGAACACATACTGGACAGAAACTGTATGAATCTAGTCAATGTGGTTAAGCATATTCACATGTCAGCAGTCTTAAATACCATAAAATATCACATAACCTAGACTGACCCTGTGAGTGAAACCAATGACGTAAAACCTGTGTAAGAAATCACCCTGCAGAGAAATCCCTTATTTGTAAGCAGTGTGATAAAGCTGTGCACTCTGCATAACTCAATAATCTGTGAGCTCCTGAAATTTTTAATACTGAAGGAAGTCTTGGTATAAAGGATTTGATAAGATCTTCAATGAACAGACATTTATTTACACAAGATTCTGCAGGGAAAAACATCTGACATGTGTCACCAATCTGCTCAAGCAATGTGTTGTCTCTGTTGTGTTTGTACTTGCAAACTCTTATGTACATGGTTCTATAGGTTCGCTGATAAGGTAACCCTTTTTTTTTTCCAGGCTTTTCATTAATTGCTTAAACAAACCCTCTTAGTGATCGGGCTATTGGTCTAAATTCAGTCCTAAATTCCTGCTTTCTGTTCCATGAACCAATGCATGATGACGGGAAACTATTAAGACTTTAAAGGCCTCAACCCCTGGGATACAGGAATGAGTGCGTACAAGAGAAAATCTTCACCTTTGAAAATCTGTTTGGTTAGAGA